GCAGATGCTGAACTGTAACAAGAATGACAGGTTTACCAGAGGGGAAGTTCAAGCCAGTATGAGCGCCTGTGATGAAGGGATCAACCTATCCTAGGGGATCAGAGGAGGCTTCTCTCGGAAGTGACACATGGCGGTGGAGACCTGAAAGATGAGTGAAGGTAAAGGGTTGATTTTAGTGCCCCCTGGTCAAACTCCTGGACGAACTCCCAGCAGAGGGAACAATTTGCATACTATGCTTTTATCATATAGGATATTGCAAAAATAATTGGAATTAAATTCTGATTGTGACTCCCCTACACTGGCTTAACAAAGTGAAGTTAGCATGAGCCAGAATAACCATTAGCATTGTATAACCTCTCAGGAGAGGGCCCAGTAAGGCTTTTCAGTTGCAGAAAACACCAATGTCTTTGGCATAACCCTATGTTCCAATCTTATGAGAAGCCACTTAAAAATGAATAAGACAGATGCTAAATTCTTAGATACACGGCCACACAATGAGAAAGTTCAAAACAAAGCCAGGTTCTTAGCCTGCAGTGCTAAAGAATGACAGCCAAGCAATTAGAGCTGAGAAAATGCATTCTACAGTATTACAGCAGGAGACTGAGGTCATTGTCTGGGTGCTGGTAATAAATAAGACATCTTTAAAAAAAAAACAAAAAACTTTCTACTGAATTTTAGAGAGACAGGGAGCGGGAGAGAATCATTGAACCTGCAGCAATCTGAGCATGTGCCCTGATCGGGAATCGAACCAACAACCTTTGAATGCACAGGATGATGCCCAACCAGGCCACACCAGCCAAAGCTAAACAAGACATCTTTTTACCTGAGATGATCAAATACAGTTCAGTACAGGAAGGGGCAGGGGCAGAGAAAGACTACACAACCTACCAAAGCCTCGAGTCTTTGAAAAACATGAGAAGTAAACCACTGCTGCAAAAAAGTGAAGGTTAATGGATGAACTCTGAATGTCTTTTCTAAATATCTAGGACTCACCTCTCCTGTATTTATTACTCACACCAACCAGGAAGCCCACAGAGAATTGTGCACTTTCCCTGGCTGGCGTGGCTCAGTGACTGAGCATCAACCGGTCACAGTTCAATTCCCAGTCAGGGCACATGAGTGGGTTGTGGGCTCAATCCCATTGCAGGGTGTGCAGGAGGCAGCCGATCAAAGATTCTCTCATCATTGATGTTTCTATCTCTCTCTCCCTCTCCCTTTCTCTCTGAAATCAATAAAAATGTGGGTTTGTCGTTTTTGTTTTTGTTTTAAAGAATCATGTACTTCATATTTCTTTGAAATGTTCATTTCTTCCATCACCGTTGCCCCAAACAACATCATAAAATTATTCATAGGAAATGTGGTAGGGCGGTTCTTTTTACCAAACCTCTTCCTGCATATTAGTACAAAGGGCTAAAAATAAGTACAATCACTTTGCTACAGTTTCTAACCAAGCATAATTTTTGAGAAGGCTGATGTTTTTCCTTTCCTGGCTAATCTTCATTTCCCCTTAAATTTCTCGTGTACAGAACAAAACCCATAATTTCATCTGGAAATGGACTATCTGTTTCAAATGATATGTTTATTGAAAACAACACAAACATCCTTCCCATGGAGAGAGGACAACCTGGGACGAAGCACACGAGGACCTGGAGGACGGTTTCCAGTGCTGCCCCTGCGGCCTGGGAGGGGACCTCAAACCCCAGCCAGCCAGAAACAAAACTATAAACATGTCACATTTCTACATCGTCAATCAGAGCTCAGTTGAATTTTCATAACAATGAACCTTAATTATAGCCCAACATTTAGACAGAGTGGAACATGACTTTAGTAGATGTAAAACTTGATTTGTTTCCATGGGTGGTGAGCCTTGATCATTCGGTCTCTCATTTCTTTCAGCTTTAAAATTAAGATATCTTTTGAAACCTTCCTTCCCCCCCCCCCCCCCAATAGAAGCTTCACGATGAAGTGCAATGCCTAACTCACTTCAAAAGGAGTTACTGTGGCCTTGCTGGGAGAGGCTGGTTGGAGGCAGGGTGGTGAAGGCAGCACGGTCACCTCCGGAGCTGCTCCTCTGAGCTGGGGAGCACTGAGGAAAGGTGTGGCAACAGGCACTACGCCTTGGTCTGTTTTGAAATTTTCAACAGCACAGAGTAAGTAATTTTCTTACAGGTTATCTGATTAGGGTAATGCCAACTGAGAACAAAAGACTTGACCCATCTGCAAGTGGGTTACACAGAGTTACAAGCAATAAACCCCTTCACTTTGAGCTGAAAATTGAGGCTTAAATAATGCATGGTGGAGATGAGACAGAAATCACAGAAACAAATATGTGGCATAACAGACAACTAAGACCTGTGATGGAGAGCTTTAATCACCACATGTAAAAACAGTATTCTCACATAGCAAAAGGGCTCCAAATTCTTCACCATCATCACCATAGTGTTAGAGATGAAAGTCACACTAGTACAAAAAATCTTCCTGTTCACAACAGCAAGATTAATGGAACTTTCTTTATAAAAACTTTTTTTTTTTTTTTTTACCCTGAGGCTATCGTCAAAGTGAAAAAGAAAGGTCACTTTCAGCTGGAATTCATCCAATGTGAAATATTTTAAATCACTGATTCTTTAACCTGGAGTAGCTTCTCTTCCCTCGCCCATCCACTCATACTATGTGATAACAAGAAGAAAAGGTGACAAATGGATGGGTCCAGACCAGCATTATAACATATTGATACCATGATTCTCAACTCAATCTACTGATCAATACAAAACAAACAAACAAACAAAAACAACCTGAATTATAGTGTCAATTAACTCAATGCTGTCACATTAAAAATGATCTCAATTGGCTCTTTCTTATAAAAGGAGAGTTAACAGTAGATTCTCAAATAGTTCTTTCTTACAATGTCTACTGCAGACACTCTATTTCCTACAGATGAGCCAACTAATTAAGTTCATACAGATTGCCTTGCACATCTCGACTCTGGGCTCTTAGTCATCCTGAGATGAAATGTGCACATGTTTAAATGAAAAATAGCCTGCAGACACTATAAGAGTTATTCCAGTCAAGTGATCAGAGAGGCATCAGAAATCATGTTAAATCAGGAAAAAAAAAAAAAAAAGATAGCCATGTTGGAGACTATGTAAACATTTTGGTGTGTAAAAATAAATAGCACAAAAGATTTTCAAAAATCTAAATTCCTAATGTCTCTAATGAAGTTCTTAGTGAACAAGGCTAGAGCAATAGTGTAATACCACTCTCAAGAAAGCCTGGGGGCTTTTTCTCAGTTATTTCCATAATGATTTCTGTTTGTAAAACGTATTCTTTTTAAATAGTCACAGCACTTCATCAAAGTGGCCGCCAGTCTGCATATCTGAGTCAGGAAATCTTTGCTGTCATTTAGTTTTAATTGGTATTATACATGCAATTTCCTGTGTACTTCTCACTTTCGACTCACAGTTACAAGTATTCTGGGCTATATATAATAAATGTGGAGATAATAGGTAAAGAATTACCAACCTAATCTTGCTCCATATTCTTCATTTTTATTATGCTTAGATGCCTTCCCAATTCAAATGGCTGAACTGAACAACACAGACATGAATATTTGTGGGATTTTTCTTGAGCAGTTAAATTGTGTTCACTAACTCTCAGCTCAAACTGGGTGAAGATAATGACAATTCAGTATTAGAATAAAGGTTTTCTTGGAAAGGCTTGATACAAACAAGTGTTGTTTTTTTTCTTTCTTTCTTTCTCCAGGTAGAAATATTGAAAATCAAGTTTGAAAAAACTGTTAACAATCCCAGATCTGATACCTGAACTCCTGTACAACATCTCTGTCCAGTTGTCTGGCGTCTGCCTGAATACCTTTAGGGGCAGGAAGCTGTTGCAACATTACTTCAAGAATCGGACAGCAAAACAGAAAGAACAGGGAAACAAACTTCCATTAAACATGATGATGAATTTTGTCTAACTTTTCAAGAGAGTTAGCAGATTGTCAATTGCTACTGAAAGGAATAAACCAGATTTGTTCCACGCATCCAATGATTCAAAATGGGGAAATAAATTCAGAAGTGAATTTTATAAATCCCTGTTGAATAGCTCTGTGTGTGTGTGTGTGTGTGTGTGTGTGTGTGTGTGTGGTGATAGGGAAGCAGATAAAAATATCTTAGAAGTAATTATTGTAAGAACCCCAAAACAAAAGGAAGATGTGCTTTAAATAATAAATAAAAGTTTTGCTTTAAAGTTGCAAGGAACACCTTGTGCAGCAAGTCTCAGTACAAGAAATCCAGAGCCTCGGTGGACGAACTGCAGGCTAATGGCAGCTGCGGAGTTTGTCGGTTCGGACGCAGGAGACAGCAGAGGGACAGGAGCAATCTGAGACGCAGCCTGCTATCTGGGCAGTCAGAAGCAGGGCACTCTGCCTTGATTTTCTCCTTCCAGCTTGTCTGACAGGACTGCAGATAATTTCTTATTTCCTACTTCTCTCAAGAACACTCAGGCTGCTTCAGGGTTTCAGAAGACCAACAAAGCAACATGTCGATTGGTGGACAGTAACATCAGAATTCAATTTCACAAAGGTTCAGTTCCTCTGAAGGAACAAGTTTATGTCTATAATTTATTTTCTGGACATATATAGGTATAAGTCTATCTCAACTGAAAACGTTCACCCTGGTAACACACAGAAACTTTAAAAACTCTACATGACCATGCTAACTGAGACTCCGCTGATTCATTTTTGAGTGGTATCTTTTACCGCGAGGTGTTAAAATGGCAATGGTGTCCATCTTTAACAAACAAGACGGTGAACAACTAGCAGAAACAAAACAACAATAAAACCAATCTTAAAGTCAGTATGTCTTTTTATATGGAGTCCACTTTTTTTTTCATATCTGTTTCAAAAGTGTCAGATAATTAACATTAGTGGCTAGATGACAAGAGAGCAAATCTTCCTGCAAGAAAGAATAAACTTCATTGACCTCTGAGATTTGTAAGTCGGATCAATGAAAGTCTATTAAGTACTCAGGATAGATCTGGTTGGCATCAAACACCACAAAGATCTTTGGATTCCAGGTGTCGTCCACACAGCTGTCATACAAATTCACATAGCTCCCGTCTTTGGAAGGAGGTCGCATGTATTTGGAGTCTCCATTTATATAATCTCCAATCAGCACTCGAGCAAGAAACATAGACTTATATGTTCTAAATAGATGTCGGTTTTGCAGGCTTACACCATGAATTTGGAATGTGTTTCCATGTTTTATGTCATCTTTGCAGAAGCGACTGGAGTAAGCAGCATCTCTAGCAAAATAGGTTCCTAAAACAAAAAGAACCAAGAAAACAAAAAAGCTAAGATTAAAGAATGCTCTGAAGAATACATGAAACACAAGAAAAAACAGTCTGCTGGGGGAATAGACACATGGAATTGTATAACAGAAATGGATGTGAAATTTCCTCCTATGAAGATCTTTAAGAACATAAGTTTATCTGTTATGGATGGCTGTCATTCAGATTGCCATAGGGATAGATTTGTTAGTATGGACCAGTCCTCACCACCAACTCCAGCACACCATACCACAAAGTAGTGCCAGACTTGTTTTCAGAAGAAATCTTACAAAGAAATCCAATATGTAAGACTGATACAAACTATTTCTGTGATTAAAAGAGTGGCAGGACCTGAGTTTTAATTGCTTGGACTCCCATTTCTATTTCCTTCCATCGCTTTCCTCTCCCGCTTCCCTATACAGCAGCCACTGAAGCCCTGGAGAGCACAATGGAAACTGCTGGTCTACAGAGATGATTTCAAACCCCAGATACCACATTTCCATAAAACAGAGTAACGATTCAATTGTATTTCTGGAAATAATAGAACTCTCTGTCCCCAAGCGTGCAATGCTGTTCACATCCAGCCATCCCAACAGAACAATTTCACCAGTTCATTGCCTATTTGGGAAAACTCAGTAAAGCATCTGACTCTTTGGAGGAGTCAGGCGTAGAAGACTGACGTCATTATGGGAACGCTTACTCTAAAATTTTTGAAAAATAATTGCAATGTCTCGTATTACCCAGTACTGATGGGATTTATGTAACACTTTTCTGATCCTCTTACAGTTAAAGAAATAAAATAGACTTTTTGGTAGTTTTTTAAAAAAATTATTTACTTTTTTAAAATACAGCACACCCTAATCCTAAATGGTCGTTAGTTCACTTGATGGAGGTAAGGTTCAAAGCAAGAACCAGCAAAATAAATGTCCATCCCTTATCTTCTCCCCCTCATCTCTCTCCTCGATTTGCTTGGGTAGCGGCATAAATTGGAGAACTTGGACTTTCACAACATTAGGAAAAAGGTGAGGATTTCCCCCAATATTCCTTTTTGCTCATTAATATTCTTACCTATCTTTTTCTAAAAAACAACACAAACAAAAAATACTAGTACCTAGACTGTGTACAATGTACATTAATTTATTTGATAGTTCTCTCTTTATATGACATAAAAGTCTTAGTTTTACCCAAGGAAAGGACTTATATATGAAAATTAAATGTAATGCAAAAATTAGTGAACATGGACATGATGCCTTACGAACTACTGGGAGCGGGGCACGATCTGACCCGTTCAAATACAAAGTCTTGTACTTCTACCTTGCACATGCAGGAGGGGCTTTTCTGTGGCTCAGAACCTCAGAGGGTGTGCTGGGAGCCTCGTACATGACTTTTAACTAATAACTGTCAACCCCCTGAATAACAGAACAGTCCATTATCTCTAAAGAGAAAAGATTTGCTCTTAGGACCAGAATTGGACCTGGAATTCTGATAATTACCTTTTCCAAAGAGAGCACCATGTATACCGTTTATCCTCCAATCAAAGTTATGAATGCAAATTGCTTCCACAAATTCACTGCTGGTACCATGAAATAGCATTTGTTCATTAATCTGAGGCACACCGCTTTTTTTTTTGAGCTGAGCCTTTTTCCTAAAAACACAATACACACAGACATAAAACATACAGAAATATACCATAAGTGGCAGTTATTAATATTTCAAGGAGCAAAATTCAGTAGAAAATGTGAACCCAAAACCTTAACATAAATCATAAATGGACAAAGCAGCCCTAAAGAAGAATCTCAAATGCTCTTGGACACATAAGTCATCTTATCAAAAATTATTAGTTAACATTGAGACTTGAGGTTGCAAATTACAATCAAAACTATAAATATAATATGTCAGATGATGCCCATTATTAAAAAGGTGGTTTCCTAAACCAACCAAGTTTTACAGATGCCTAAAAATGGCAATATAAATAATTAAATAATACAAAGCTCACAGACTCTTTAAACAGTGAACTCCTTGAGCAGGGACTAGGTCGTAATCTTTTCATCCTCAGAGATTAGAAGATATCGGTTGAATTAAACTGAATTAAGTCATACAGTTCAACCTCTTCCCAATGGACAAATCTCTTAACAATGTAGGGCTGATTGTAATAGTAAAAAAAAAAATACAAACTGAAAACAGCTTAAAAATTTGTTATAGAAAAATGAATAATTATTTACTTATACATGAAAGTTAAAAGTAATAAATTAGATGTAGTACATTTGTTAATAGATAACTCTTGAAAAGTAATGTTGAATGTAAAAAGAATATTGCAAAAAAAGGCATATGACTCAAAATAATATGGTATATTGAATAAGCATACATTATAGGTAATCCTATAATATATAATAAAAGGCTAATATGCAAATTGTCCCCTCAACTGGGAGTTTGACTGGAGGGATGGGGCCAATTCATCAACTGCCCTTGGCCCCTCCCCCTAATCAGCCCCAATCAGGGTAGGCCAGCCAGACCCCACCTGTGCACAAATTCGTGCACTGGGCATCTAGTAAAGAATATAAAGATATGGATAAGAAGGCATCATACCAGCCTTATGGGGAAAAAGGAAAACAGGATGGGTTTGGGGTAAACACTTCACCTGTATCTTAATGCTTTGTATCTTAAAAAGAAAAACAAAACTGATACAAAGAAGAAGAAAATGTGACAAATATTAAAATGTTAAATTTGATTGGTAGTTACACAAGTGTCTGTAAACTATCTCTGCTTTTTCATTTTAAAAATAATTCATAAAAATGATTTTTTTAAAATGAAAAAGAATCCCTCATCATTATATCTTTAAATAGCTATTTAACAGCTGCTTCAATTCAGGCCAGGGTCAAGTGCTCACTGCTTTGCAACACAACATAACCTATCTGCAATCAGCTGTAATTGTTAGAAAATACGTCCATTCTAATTCTGAACCAACATCTGCCTTCCTATTACTTCTGCTGATTTGTCTTAATTTTTCTGTTTTTAATACAGAACAATAAAAATATTTTTATATAAAACTACTCTGAAAATATCCAAAATTAACTATGAACACTGACCTCGGCTTTCTTTTTGAGTTTAAATATACACAACTAGTGGCCCAGTACATGAAATTTGTGCACAGGTAGGGTCCCTAGGCCTGGCTGGTGATCAGCTGCTGGCCAGGGCCTTTCTTCATTCCACACCGCTCCCAGTGGTCAGCGCACGTCATAGTGAGTGATCAAACTCCTGGTCGAACTCCCAAGGGGTCACTTTGCATATTAGGCTTTTATATATATGGATTCTATCAACTATTCCTCTCACAGCACGGCTTTCAGGCCTCTCTTTTTCCATCCCGGACAGCCTTTAGTTGACGAGAATTTTCTGGATCCTTTCTAGTTTATAATGTTGGTAGGAATTAGAAGCAAAAGTCCAGATATTTCAGACAGCACTGACTCTACCAGCACATTCTGAATTTATTTTGTAGCAAGGGCACCACACTGTTGGTTTACATAAGTCTGAGTCAATTAAAACTCCCAAAACTTTCTCAAACCAGACTCCTCTCAGCTTTCTAAATTTGTACAACTGATGTACAAACCTAAAGCAGTACTACATTTATTTCAATTAAGCCTTATTTTTAAATTCATGCACGAGTGTGGTCCCTAGGCATGGAGGTGATTGAAGTGTGAGCATCTAGTTGGAAGGGCAGGTCCAGCTGACCCCTACATTCCCCCCTCTGCCTGGGTCCCCAAGCCCGAGTCCCCATGCTCCCCATGCGGAGATGTGGTGAGCACAGCTGGATGCTGAGTGCAGGGGAGTGGGGTGGGGAGGGGGGCTCAGCGTAGGCCTCTGGGCCTTCCAGCTGCGCACAAAAGCCGGGCAGGCAGCGCACTCTCTCCTGGGTGGTCTTGCAGACCAGCTCCTGTGCAAACCCACAGAGAGCCTGACAAGCTCTGTTGTCCTGGTGGCTATGACCCAGCTCACCCGGAAAAGGCCAGGCGGCTGTGGTGCAGGCTCCTCACCAGCACCCCGCACCTGAGCTCAGGGTTTCCCAGACTCATGAACCCTGGTGTCCCCAGGGGAAGGTAGCAGGGGGAGTGAGTTCAGCAGATATCCCGCATTCTCACCGCACTTCCATCCCCATCACCTCCACCCCAGGTAGCTGGGGAGAGGTCACAGCCCCTCCCCCAGGCACCATGGGAGGTTGTTCACTGCCACCTACCGCCAATTATGAATCCTCTGCCACCCAACCCTGGTTCCCCATCCCAGCCCAGGCTCAGCCCCAATAGGGCAATGGGAACCTGCTGGCCCAGGGGAGGGACTGGGAGGTTGGCTGGCAGGCCCCATCTGGCGATCGGGCCTGTAAGCCAGGGGAAGTTCCTGTGCTGAGTGTCTGCCCCATGTTGATCAGTGCACGTTACAGTGACCAGTTATTCTGGTTGTTCCATCATAACAGTTGCTTAGGCTTTTATATATAGAGATAGCAATTTAAAAGTGAATAATTTATTTTAAAAACAAGCATGCAACTTAGTGACTATGCAGAGGGAGAGGGGATACTTGCATTTAAATGATGAAAGAATTGGAAATGTATATGGTCATTCTCAGGAGTCATTTGACAATATGTATCAAAATTTAATGTCTATGCTTTGATCTACTATTGATAGTCTTTTCAAACCATTAAGCATGACTTAAAAGGATGTGCATTAAACAAATATTTATTGCAAAAAAAGCCAGCATGTTTTCACTAACAATAAATTATGTCTTTAAAAAAAAAAACTTTATGTACTTACTTTTAAACAATTCATACTTGTTGCTTTTCTAAGAAAAAAATCTTTTAAAAAAATATAATCTATTGTGTTGACTTACTGTTTCAGTCTTCTAAGATTATTCTGACTCTGATTCATTCATACAGCAAATAAGCTACCCATTCTAGTTTTGAATCTTTCAAAAGTGCGATAAGCAAACCTTCCACATTTTCATCCAAATTTCTGATCAAAATGTTGAAGGGCTCAAGAAGAAAGCATACATGCCATTCAGGTTCCCCTCTGCATAAGACTTTTTTTTTTTTCAATGTCCAGAAATAAAGTTTTATTGCATGAGAGTCCTATTCATTTGCTTAAGTATTGCCTATGGCTGCTTTCATATGCCATCAGCAGAGCTGTGTAATTGCATCAGAGACTGTTAATTCCAAAAAGCTGAAAATATTGACTATCTGGCCCTTTATAGCACAAATTTGCCAATCCTTGATCCACAGTGTGCACAGGTTGGTGAATGTATAGAAAGATAGGTTCCTGTCACTTATGGGAATGTTTATAAAGTGTAGCATTTTTTTAAAAAATTTATCTTTATTGTTAAAAATATTGATACCTTGCTACCATCCCCTCCCCCAAGGCTTTCACCACACTATTGTCTGTCCATTGGTAATGCATATATGCATGTAAGTTCTTTGGTTAATCTCTTCCTACCCCCACCCCCCAAAATTCATTAGTCTGTTAGATGCTTCAGTGTCTCTGGATCTATTTTTTTCAGCTGTTTCTTTCTTTTTGTGTGTGTGTATTTTTATTTTTTATTTTTTTATTTTTTAAATCAATCTTCATTGTTCATATTATTACAAAGGTTCCTCATTTCTTCCCCCTTCCACCAGGTTCCCACCCCACCCTCCGCCCCCTCCCCCTCCCCCATTGTCCTCATCCATAGGTGCACAGTTTATGTTCAGTCTCTTCCTCCCTCCCTTTCCCCGAGAACAGTCAGTCCACTCCCCTCCCATATCGCCGACTCTACTACAATGAACTGCTATTATTCATCAGGTTTTTCAATCTCTTTTTTGTTGTTGTTGTTGTTTTTTAAAATTAATAAACTTTTACACTTCTAAGAATAAATTTTAAAATCTAATAATTTTAAACCTTGTCTTTTTTTCTGTCCTGGGAATTGAGAGCAAACTTGTTTACATGTAAACTTGTCCTTAAGCTATCAAAAGGTGTAGCCATTCAAGTGTAAAGGGACACATTGTTTAAACATAGCTGCTGGTTGGAATTGGATTACCTGTTCTGGGTGGGAAGGGCTTGTCATTCCCTTTCTCCATTAAAATTAAGGTGTTAGCTTTAAAACCTCTTTTTGGCAAGAGACCTTAAACTTTCAGAACTTTAAATTTTTCAGATAGTAAATCAGTTACTTAGCATTTTCTCAAATCAATAATATCTCCACATGCCCAAGGATACACTTCACACAAAAGACATTTCCAAATAGATCAACCAACCTCATCCAGGCCCCACACAAGGCACTCACAGATCAACACCCCAGCGCTATACTAACTCAACACATCCAGATCTAAGCCTTCCTCATTTGATTCAGCAGACTCTCAAGTTCCCCCAAAAGTTTCCAGCCATGTCTGAGAAGCAGCCTTGGGGCGGAGGCAGGCGAGGAGCGAGCTGTTCCAGGCCTGGCTGCTCCGGGCCTGGCCTTTGTTGCTCTGGTCCGTTCCACAACCAGCTGCTCCAGGTCTGGCCACTGCCGCTCCCGTGGCTGCTGCTGCTCCGGGCCTGGCCGTTACGGGCCTGGCCGCTGCTGCTCCGGGCCTGGCCGCACCCGACCCGGCTGCTCCAGGCTCGGCTGCTCCAGGCCCGGCCGCTCCCAGCCTGG